TTTTGCATACGGAAAAAGTCGATTTTCAGTATCTTGTATACGGAAATATTTACGAATTTATTATACTGTTTGTCTACATTTTTTATATATTTTTTAAACGTATTATTTCTGTATACTTTCCTTATACTAATTATTTATAAGGCAATTAGATCTATTATTAAACACAAACTTAGAACGAACAAATGTTTACCAAACAGTATTTTTAGATATAATTTAATTTATACTTATAGAGAATTCTATGATATTCAATTGCAAGCAAAATATAATTACTTCATTAAACTGATTAACCAGAATAATCTTACAGTTACTACCTTTAGAATTCGTCCGAAATAGGTTTAATTTCAACATCACTTGCATGATAATTTACTAATCTCTTGGAATTCGATAAATACTTCATCCAAAAATTCTAGTTTTTAGAATCTTTCTTAAACAATTTATCTAAATATTAATTTCATTCAACCAACAAATGATGTGTTTCATATTAAAAGGGGGTCAAACTCCTTTATCTAATATTATTTCATTAATAGTCAGGATTTGAAATCTTTAATTTCTCATTATATTATATATTTTGAACAATTAATAATTAGTAAAGGCCTATGTCTAATACCATATAGTGACATCAAACACAAATCCTTTGGATCACTTTCACAAATTAAAAATCTTTCAAATTAGTATTTTATATTACAATAAAAAGTTATTAATAATCCAATCTATACTAATAGATTACTATTACAATTTGCATTTAACATTTATATTTATCAGATTTTATCGTTTTTACTTCAGACCAAAATTTGAAAAAGATAAATTGGATTACTTTTTAGGATAATACTTATCAACAAATAATTATAGGACAATCAATTAAAATCTCTGCTTAATCACATCTTGCTTTTTTTCACTATTTTCATTAAACAAAATTTATTATAAGACCCTTGTTTTCTTTCAAAAAAACAACATACTTATATAGCATATCCTGGATGTCATCATAACTCAGATGAAAATCATTTAGTATTCAACTTATCAAACATTTCAGATCTCAAATATGCTTTTTATGTAAATTATGTAAATTATGGTTTACTTAATATAATTAATGTTAACAGCCTAAAAGAAATAAATATGAGATTAATAGATCAGATTTACTTATCTAGAAGCTCTTTATTCATACTTTCTGATCAATCCTTTTTTTTTATAATAAATTTTACAACATCAATATCTCTTCACAACCAACTATAGAAATCTCTAGAAATTATTCTTATAATACAAATTTCCTTAAAAAATTGATTGTTAATCAAAACACATATCAACATATATTATACCTTTAACAACAACTTTATTTATTACATTTAAATAACTCCCAAATCTTAGAATTCTACACAGATGGTTCTCACCTGTTTGATTCTGATAATTTGTTTACTAATCTTAGTTTAGTATTAGCTTTTATTAAAAATGATAATTTAGAATTTTCTTTCTCAACTGCTATTATCTCTATTTAATCCAATTCATCTTATGCTAAAATTTTGGCCATTTTATTTATTATACTTTTGTTTTCCCTATGTTTTAATATTATAATTTATACAGATAGTCTCTCTTCAATTTAAATATATAAAAAGATCAAAAACATAATGTTCTAATTTACTCTACTTTTCTTTTCAAAATCTTCTTCTATATATATTAGTCTTATATTTTCTTTTTAATAGATATTAAATTCTTACAAGTAAAATTTGTAAAGATCAAAATACACTTAGGAATTAAATAGAATGAATATATCAGCATTTTAGCCAAAGATGCTTTATTTGATATTCTACTAGAATTAAATCATGATGATGTTTCTCATGCTAAATATCTTCTTAAATTTCAAAATCTTAAGAATTGTTATTATATGACCTTTATATTTCTCTGACTTTTTTCATAATACTAATAATAGTATTTTTCAAAGTTCGCTCTTTTGTCATTAAAAAGGCATAAACTTTTATTTTATCATTTCTTTTTTGAGAAGATATAATTTTCATAATTTTACAATTTTCATCTATTTTTATTATTTAGAATATATAAAATTATTATTTGGTAAAAGTATTTTATAAAAAAGATAAGAAAAAATTTTTTTGCATTGTGAAGTTTAATAAACTTAAGAAACTTTATTAAAACTTGTGATAAAACTCTTAAAATTGTTAAACATAATACTTAAAAATTCTTAAAATGATCTGCATACTTTATAGATACAGCAATAATAATATTTGGAATTATGATCATTTGAGATTAGAATCATTCAGAATTAAAGATATCAGCTAAAACTCCCTCAAAATAATTTCGTTATATCCCTTATATCCCTTACTATATTTTTAATATAGTTTCAGCTAATTTTGGGTTTCAGGATTTTGTTGTATCCCTCACTATGTTTTAATATAATTTCAGCTGTTTATTAATTGCCTTTTTTGAGTTTTGTTTCTTAATTTTATTTAGGATTATGATCTTTCGAAATTATGATCATTAAAAATTATGATTTTTAGATTATGACTCTTTGGAATTTTGATCTTTGAGATTTTGAATGGTATCCATTAGAAATAAGAAATTGATTGCAAAATTTTCTTAATTACTAATTAGCCATTCTCAGAATAATCGTAATCAAATTTTGAAAATCTGAATCCTTATTTAAGTTTAATTTAAATTATAATTTCAGCTGATAATTTAATTATAATTATTCTAAGATTGTCTGATTAGAAATTGATATAATGTAGCTCATTAGATATGTTTAATCATAATGAATCAAATGGTAGTTATTTCATAAAAATCTGAGCAATATAGACTGAAATTATACATTTTTTTTTTGTTTTTTATATAAAAAGCATATAATATGATATCATTTTGACTATTTTGACTTTTATTTCAACTTTCAGGTTTTTATTTTGACTTTATGTATAGATTCTATATAATAATTATTTTTTTAGTATCATTAATATAATTAATAAATTGGATTTTATGATTAGTATATAAAAATAAAATTGAACAATATTAAAATTTGTTCATATAAGCATAAATATAAATATATTTCTAAAATTTATATTCTTATTGTTATTAATATATTTAAGAAATGTGATAATTTAAATTGGTTATAATAGTGATGTACATTTTCAATGTTCCAAACATTTTGAGACTGTCCAATACTATGTTCCAAAATGTCTCACATTAAGTTCTAATGTCCTAGGCCATGTTCCAAAAATATCCTATGACAACACTGGTTATAGGTAACTAAATTTCTGTTCTAATGTTAATTAATCACTATTAATATTTAATTTGGATGATTACTTTACTATCAGTTCTTATGAAATATTATAAAAAAATATTTTGAGTATTTTACAATCAAGTCAACCATATAAAATTTGATTATATAATCTGTTAACTTTTTACGTTAATACACAATCGCTTAAATCAAATTCATTTGACAGCCTTAAAGATATAATTACAGTCAGAGATAAATAATATTAAATGCTTTTCAATCAAATTAACGCATTAGAAAAAAGATAGATTATCTTTATTATCATAAAAAGTAGGTAGAAAATAAGTGTATTATTTAGCTAAAGCAAAGATGCAAAACTTGATTATTATTGAATTGATATATGGTTATGTAATTGTTAAAAATTATGTTAAAGAGAAACAAATAAATTAATTATACAAGAACTAAATACATGACTATCCAAAAATTATTAGTAGAAATAGCAACAGTTTGTAAATTAGATAAAATGAGATCTATTACTAATTATGACAAATTAGGAGGAATAAGTTTATTCACAAGAGCTAACTCCAGAAAATTTATTACAATCTACTTCATTAAGTTCCCAAGCAGCTTCAGAACCACTAATCTCATAACAAACATCATGTTCACCTTCCACATCTTGAATATTCTTATACTCGTGTATTTGAACTCCAAACTTTCCGTTTGGTGGTGGACTGTTATAATCAATTAATTGACAAGTTCCGATGCAGTTTCTATGACCAGAGTCGTAAAACACGTGACCTGAATCAGGGTCTATTACCCACCCCCAACAGTCAAGACTACTAATCAAAGTAGAAAATACTTGTATATGATATGCTACGATTTTTTATATTGACCAAATAGATGAAATTTATTAGAATAGGGAAAGATAAATACTTTACTATAAATATTCAAGAGCTGTACCTTCGGTTATGTGAGTTATTAAGAAAAAGACGATGGAGATGGTTAGGTTGAAATTTTTTTTGGAATACTTCATGATGAGCGTGGCAAAGAGTTTTTGATAATTTACGAGTTTAAATCAATGAACGTATTTTTGTTTTTTATTTCAATCACATAGTATGTAAATCAGCGAAAACGTAAATAGATTTAGAAATGATCTTAGTTGAAACACAAGTCGAGAAATATTAATATCAAAAATTTGCATTTTTTTTTTTCCTTAATAAATAATTAAAAAATATATTTTTTTTACGAAAGCTTTTAATTTTCATGCAGATTCATGTGAAAAAAGGACAAAAAATTTTTTTGAAATAACATGATCTGAATCAGATGACCAAATCTACATCTAATTTACTTGGGAACTTTTTTTTTAAAAAAAAAATCAATTTGGTCCATTTTCCCAGCACTCACCCCATATGAGCCGATTTGGCGTATCATATTCAAAGTAAATGTCCTACAGGTACTATTAACAATCGGCCCATATGTCTTGAGGAACATTGCACTTTATTCGAAACAAGGATACTTACCTGTGTCAACTGATTTTTTGACGTGCAATTGTTGAGGAGGGAGATTTGAAAATAACGGAAATCCCTCTCCAGTAAAATAAAATTTTTTCACTCCCATATCGCAAAATTTCTGTATTTACACACTCTGAAACATCTTCTAAGGGACCGTGGAATTTCTCAAATTTTTGGAGATAGGCACGGTATATCAACTTGCGCATCAGCTTCTGCTTTTGCATCTGCTTGTGTCTTTGCTTGCCATCAATACCGAGATTGCTATTATGTCCTCCTCCAAACTTAAAAAAACAACTCATAATTGAGCGAGTGTTTTATCCTTAGAAAGCTTTATTGCTTCGACCTGGTTTATTAGTATTGTTATTCACCATGATTGCTAATAATGATCATCATCTGGATATGAATGAACCTTTAAGTTCAAAAGGAAGCTTTTTTTTTTAACGAATTTCCAGCTTTACAGTAATAAAGAAAAAATCCTTTAATGTGTATTTTTAAGTATTAACAGAATTTGGGTTTCTTTTGCTTTATTACTTTATTATCATTTTGTTTTCTGTTTGTATAAGGAAGAAATGAATTTGTAAATAAATCAGTGTTAATTTGATGTTAACTTTTATCAATTTTATGGGATTGTACAATAAAATTTTATGATCACCAAAATTTAACCAATAACCATTATTTTTTTATGCTTTATTGAATTTGTGCAAGGTTTCAAAAATCAAATTTAACTTCATTCTAATATTTTATGAATTATCACCAAAGAATTAATTTTAGTTCATTTTCACAAGAAAGATCACAGGAGTGATCCAGATCTTATAGATTTTCAATTTGAACGAGTTTCTTTCAATGGACGCGTTAGTTGAGAGTTTATTAAAAGCTAATCTCGATGATGAACAAGAACCGTCAAGAACAGCTCATGCTTCAGATGCTTCCGATGAAGAATCTAATGTGAGAAATATAAACATTTCTTTCCTTTTATCAACAATTAACTAAATATTATATTTTAATTAATTAGGTCTCCTCATCACGAAATAATACTGTAGAGGCACCACCGCAACATGGTGGCCCACAAACAGGTCCTAAAGGAGTTTTGGCAGATCATAGATATCATAAACAACAAGTAAAGCAACAAAAGGCTTTTGCTATAATTGCACATAATGAACGTATGATGTCAAAAGCTTTTACCACCACAACATACCAAGAAGACCAAGAAATAAAAGCTCAAGAGAACCTATTAAAAGAATTAGAAGATATTAGCTCGGACGATGAAGTTTTAAAAAAATATCGGGATCAAAGATTAAATGAGATAAAAGACGCGACAAATACTAATAAATCATTAAAAAAAAGATTTGGTAGCTTAAAAGAAATATCTTCTAACCAATACGTCAAAGCCATCGACAATGAAGCATCTAATGTTTGTGTTATTGTACATTTATATGAAAATGTGAGTTTTATTAGTTAAATAAAATAATTTTATGAGAACTTCAGTACATATATATTTATCTATTTATTGTTATTTTAGTCAAATCCACAATGTAGGTTATTAAATGAATGTTTAATCTACTTGGCTCGAAAATTTGTTGGAGCTAAATTTCTCAGAATTCTCGCACATGATTTAGAATTTGATCCAATTGGTTTACCTGCTTTATTAGTTTACAAAAATGGTGAATTAATTGCTAATTTGGTTAAAATAACTGAAGAAATTGGGGAGACAAATTTTGATTCAGATATTGTAGAAGAAGTGTTAATCAGGTACGACAATTTATTTTCGATATTTAAATTATTAATTTTATTCTAATCAAAATTTTACTTTTATATAAAAGATATGGTGCAATTAACGTAAATGAAGATATTGACGATTTATTATTCAAAGATAATTCGGTTTCTCGAATTTTTGGAACTGGTAAACATGATGATGATGATTATTATGATGATTAGATTTATTTCCTCTTTTTTTCTTTATTATAATTTTATTAATATATAAAATGTTAATTTATTTATTATTATTTTTCAATTCATGAATTTTTATTTTAACATAAATTGGGTATTCCCCATCACTTTTTTTTTTTGTGTCCGTATTATATTTATTATACTTAATATACATACTTACAATGTAATAATCTATTATTGATCTTCATCAAAATAATTTGCCATAGGATCTTCATGCCTAAAAAAATTAATGAAACTAATTAATGAATTTCCAAAAAAAAAATAAAATAAAATAAAAATACAAATAAAATTGATTTTCTAAGGCTTACGATTGTTTTTTAAGCCTATATGCTTCCAAATCTTCTTCAGTAACTTCGGCCTCGGTAGACGCATTTTTACCCATGTATGCACTATTATAAGGACGTTTTCGATCATTCATTTCCACTTCATAATCTTTTAATTTATAACGCTTTTCTTCATTATCTAGTGCCTTCTTTAATTTCTTTGAATCCAGTTTGATTTCTCCTTCTCCGAGATCTTTGCGTTTAAGATGTTTATTAACATCATTGTCTGTATTATTGGATTTAGAATTCTTGGTTCTCTCATTATATAACTCAACAAGGGTTTTCCTTGAGGATGATAATTCTTTATTATCAGTGGTTGATGCTGAATTATTGATGCTGGAGGAACTTGCCAACGGATTTGACGAATTTGCTACCTCGATACCAACCAAACCGGTACAGTACGAATTTTTGATAAAAGAAAGACAACATTTGTATCCCCATCGACCGTCAGCCCAAAATGATCCCCAAACTGATATGTGATTATTTATGTAAACTTTTTAAATAAAAAGTATTTATTTAATAATTTGTTGATATAAATTTAAAAATTACTCAAATTTTAACTTACCATCTTCCTCATATTTGGATTTGGCCTTGGCTCTCTCTTGACCTTTTATCACTCTACCAGTTCTTGAATATTCCACGTATGTCTCTGTTTGAGCCAAGAGCAATTCTTTGGGAGGAGCATCCAAATGTTCTTCACCGCCATACTTGGCCAATATTGAATCTTTGCTTGTATCTTTAAGTTTCTCTTTCTTCTGGAGATACTCACGATGTAAAAGCTCACCTTGAGTAGGATTGGCTTGTAAATGCACATCCGTTCCCTTCTCATATGCCTGCCAAGCAAATAATTGAAGATTGGCCATATTGGGTGCATCTCCTGTATATCTGACAAAGTTATCCCCAGCATAATATGCTTCAGATTCTTCCACCTCTTTATTCGGATTATCACGCATAGAACGAGTTTTGGGATCATAATATGCGGAATCGATATCCAAATTTCTTAAATATTTAGCGGTATCCTCACGAATTCTTAAATTTCTGATAGTCGTTCTTGTCTTTGTATTAACTTTCTGACCTGGCATATCAGATCTTTCAGCATACTTATCTTCATCATCCTCTTCGTCTTCACTGGAGAATTCTCCAGCGGTACGTTCACCAGTCTTTTTTACTAATTCTATGGTACTTTGTTTATCAAGTTCGTTAGCTTTCATTTTCCGACGAGCTTCTTCAATCTTTTCATATTCTTCATAAATTTTAGAATGTTCGGAAGGGTCGTAGCCATTCCATCGATCTCTTTTTGAATCATAATCTAATTCAATATCCTGAATGATTTCATCAGGCTTTATATCTTTTCCAGTCCATTTTGCACCAGTTTTCCTTGGTCGATCCATACAATCTCTTGTTTTATGTGTTTTTGCTCCACAATTCTCACAAGCTCCTTTACGAAATTTAGTTGCTGCAGGACCAGCACGAAGTCCACGAGCGTACCATTTATCATTTATTGTTTCCGTTGTTTCTTCTTGTGTTCTTTGATGTTTTAAGGAAGGTCGACCTGTATCAAGATACCACGGTGCCTTTGCGATGTACTGTGGGATATGAGGATTAATGTCTTTTCCTTCTTCATCTTGCTCTGCAGGAGCTGTCCCAGCTTTTCTTGCAGCTTCAAGATCTTTTTGACGACGATAATCTTCACGACTTAGTTTATTACCTGTGTTTTTAAATTTTGTTTGATCGTTATTAAATCTCGTAAGGCAATAACGAATTTTTTTTAAAATAATATATATTTAAAAATAGAAATATATATAAAACTCACTTGAAGTAAAAGAAATTGAAGACATCTTTTTTGTAATTAGAATACAGATCTTAAAATATCTAAGAATTAACTAATGACCGACAAAAATGAATCAAGGGTATCACAAGCATAGCGGACATGCTTATATCCCATGTCGATCATTTTGTCGATCATATATAACTGAATATTTTAGATTATGAATAATAAGATTCCGAAACAATAGGACGTAATGCATAATTAATCAAGTAAATTACATAATAAATTAATTATTTTAGATTTCAAAGTTTTGGGCAAAGCCACAAATGCATGGCCTAACTATGCCAACTATTATATTTCACATTTTAGGTTATGTAGAATATAATCAAAAGATGGCTTTGAATCAACTTTTTGAATAGTTTATAAATAAATTATATTAATATAAACTTTAATAATTTAAACTTGCAATCAGTTTTCTCTAGTAAAAGATACCCAATATTAATTCGATTTCGATAAAAATTAATATTATAATTCATTATAATAAAATTCATCCGTATGTAAAATTTTAGTTTATATTATTATGTAGGATTTTCCAATCGGAGCTAATTAACTTAAATAAAATGAAAAATAATCGCAAAATGATCTGCAATTTCATGTCATGTGATCGCGAAATTTTTGTCGGGTAGTTAATTTAATTAATAAAAAAAACCATATTGTTTCATTTATTAATATCCATACAAAGAAACCCAATGTCAGATTTTCGCTATAGCCGTAATCAAACTTACCGTCCCGAATATAGTAGAGATAACCGTGAAGAAAATAGACACCGTCGTCGTAGGTCCCGTAGTAGGTCTCATAGTATAGATCGTCATAGAGCTAATGGTGTAATAAATAGACAAGAGAATTGGCGAGAAGATTTTCCTCAAAGGGGCAGACCAGAGGATATTGGAGCACGCTCATGGGGTAATAAGTTTTATTATGACGATCGTGAGGAAAATAGTAAAAGAAGGAAAACTAGACATGAAAGAGAGAGAATGCCAGAGGTTAGGAAGGAGAATCTTTTTTTCCCAATTTGATTTTATTAAGATTTTATGTATGAATTTGTTAACTTTTAACTAAACACTAGGGACGTTGGAGAGAACGTAATCTTGGCGAACCCAATAATCATGTTATTCTACAAGGATTGCCACTCGCAGCTACTGAGAATGACGTTCGTTTTTCAGCCTTATGTGTTTTAAATGCTTTACTATAATTTTTAAAATAATTATTTAACTTATTTTTATTACAAATTTCAAATTTGGTTTAAATTTCCTTCCTTCATATTTTAGATTCAGCATACACTTGATAACCTGCATGCTAGTATTGAGAATATACGTTTAATTAGGGATCGCCGCACAGGTTACATTGAAGCATATAAATCAAATCAAAAAAAAAAAGAAATCTTCTTGAAAATTTTCTTTGTAAATAATACAAATTTTTTTGAATTTTGTTAACAGGGGATTCACGCAGATTTGCTTTCGTTAAATTTACAAGCGTTGAACATGCAAGACAATTCATCGAAGCCAACCATCCTTTTATCATGATGGAAGATATTCGTGTTCGCGTTGAATACAGCAATAGTGCATCTGCAGAGGATGAAGGTTGGGCTTGCAAGAACGTGTGTATAAGAATATCTTTGATATAATTCATCTTTCAATTATAGACAAACGTTACTAAACCTGTGATATTTTTTTAATAGTGTGGATTTCTAAATTACAAAAAACGTGAAAGTTGTCACCAATGTCATCATTCGAAGAAAGGTGTGATTAGATTGTGGAAAATACCACAGAGCCCTTTCGGGCATCAAGTCGTGCTACTTAATTATAAAAATATTTAAAACGACTTGCTCCAAAATCCATATATATTATCATTTGTATGGTTTCTCACATTATCTTTAATTATATTTGGTGATGCAGAATCCATGGTGTCTGGCTCACTTCATTTGGCACCTACCAATTCGTTCTTTAATGATGGAGCAAATGATTTAGCTCAAGTTCCACATCATATCTTATTAGTCCGTGGATTAGATCCTTTGACTACCGAAGAGACTCTTTATGCCACTGCGAGTCAGGTGGCAGCTTTAAGGAGAGTTTTGCTGATTAAAGATCGAGCTTCCAGGATGTCTTGGGGATTTGCATTTTTAGACTATCACGACGTTCAGGTTTGACACTTACTATTGAAAATTTTGATATTATTTTTTAAAAAATATATATTATATATATATAAATAAACTTTATTAACGATTTGAGCTGTACTTACTCAATTGATAGACTTCTTCATATGCCTTGTCAATTTTCAACAATCCTCACTATTATCCAGGAGGATTTTTGGTTGATTCACGATCTGTTAGTATGACATTTGCTCATCCCGGATGTTTTACACCAGCTTATGCCACTACTGAGTGGACTATTTGGGGAGATGATGGGATCGCCATGTCATACTGGGATCAAAAAGCATATGCAGTTGAATATTGTGGATCACAGTGCTCAGTTCCAATTGAATCCAATATACCTTTATCGTCTATAAATTCGACTTCTTTAAATGAGGCTGAAAGTAAAATCCGAAAAGAGAGTTCATCAGAGGCGATGAAAGAATCGATCACAGTTCCTGAAACAAAACGTGCGTTTTCCACCCACTCTTTAATGAATTTAAGTTATTTATTAAATTTTTTTCCTATAAAACCAAAAAAAAAAAATAGTTAACGTCGAAGATGAATTAAATGCTTTCTATTCGGATATGGGCGCAGTTTTAACATCTACTGGAAAGGCTGAGACTAAATCTATATTTTCAGTATCTGATATGGTTTCAACCTCAAATAATCAGAATAAATCAAATTTTTCTCCAAAGAAAAATCAGGATTCGGAACTTAACGAATTTTATGCAGGCCTTGAAACTGTTGACCAACAATTGAACCCTACTCATTCTAAAGGCAAGATTCAATTTTAATTTTATTTTAATTTTTTTTTTTTTTTTCTCTTAAGTATTATGTTATCATATATTATGTTCTATTTAGGAAAAACAGTTTCCACAAAGTCAACATCTGAAGTTGATTCTCAAGGCGTTGAAATTCAACAATTTTCCGATGATAAAATTATGAATAAACCACCATCTGTAGATAATGATTTTACTCATCAACAGCCTTCAGGAATTCATTCTCCGCAGGAGCCTATAAATCACGAACAGCAAGTACCTTCACAACAAATTCATCAAATTAATTCAAGTAACTCAAGAGATTCTTTATCACCAGAAACGTTAGTTTGTAACCGAGCATAATATAAGCATGAAGCAGAGCATCAAGAAAACTTGTATTTCCGTAGCTTTTGTTAACGCAATTGTTCCACCTTGTTTCTTATCTCTTCACCACGTGTCTTTTACCATTCCTCCTATCGATTATACCGCGCTTGTCATATCTTTATTATTTGTTGGTAATAATAATTGGTTCTCTCAGTGGATACGAACCGGAAACAGTTGAAGAAAACGAAGCCTTACGTGAAGTATCGATATCAACATCTCATGATCCTTCGAAAGGAGGTTAGTTTATTTACCGATAATCGTTTTGAAGTAATAAAATTTTTTTAGATCATAACTAATACTTTTTCCTTTATTTAGTTAAAGAAAAGAAAAAGAAATCAAACAAGCCAATTGGGAAAAAGAAGGTGAAAAGTTAGATATATATATACATAAAATATTTTTTTTTGAATAGCTCACATTCTAAATTTTTAATTTAAAAGGTTCATGAACAGTTGCAAAAATGGAATGAAAGGAAAGAAGAACTACATCAAATAAATGATACCAACCAAGTTTGTAATAAAAATAAATACATGATATTATTTTCGTACTTAATATGCTATTTTAATACTGACATTCCACAGCCTGAATTAACTGACGGTCTTTTCGACTATACGTTAAATGCATGCCTATTATGTCAACGACAATTTATAGATTTGGCTGAACTTCAAAAACATGAACAATTATCTGATTTGCATAAGGTATTTCACTATTTTATTTTATTCTTAATATATATTTTTATTTATAAATTTTCTTATTATTAAAAGTTGAATTTGGAGAATGAACATCTAGTGCAAACTATTCGTATGAAACGAGCATATGGATTACAAAATGATGGTGATTGTGAAAAACCTCAGGTATAAATTTTATGACGGTGGTATTATATTCGAATTTTGATTTAATAAAGTTTTAATTTATTTCAAAGACAAGATATAATAATAGAGCGGCACAAAGAAGGAAAATTTATGGACAACCCAGGAGACCTCCTGCTTCGTCTGGATCATCCAATCCAGTTGAGGAAACATATGATCAGCCCACAAAATTTGGAATTGGAGAAGATAATATTGGAAATCGTTTATTGCAGAACATGGGATGGAAAGCAGGAGAAGGTTTGGGAAAAAATAAAAATGGTATAGTTGTTCCTATCCAACCAGAGATTTATACAGCAGGAGTTGGACTTGGAGCTTCAAATAGTCATAGCATATTGGAAGATGGACAGAATACATATTATGGGATGGCAAAGAAATTTGTAAGCATTTACTATTTATATAAAATATTATATAAATGCTTATTCGAAATATTTAATTTTATATATATTTATTAACTGATTTAACAGGCTAGAGCCCGGTTAGAAGAATCTTAAAGAACAATTTATAAAGTATTTTCTATGATTATGAAATATTTTTATTTTTATTTTATTTTATTTTTTATAATCGTTTATCAAATATATTATTCATTTATACAACTTGGTTTTTATAAATAATAAATATTAATTATTGATATTATTTCTTTTTTAATTTATAACATTGAGGTAATTTATTTTATTTTATTTTATTTTGTCTATTTAATGGAATCCAATTGTTAAATGATCCAATAGATCAGAATCCATTGGATCCAAATGGCGCAATATGCATAATATGCATGAATGGAATTGTTTCTTAATGGATGATTCATTAGTATCTATTGGAATTTATTGGTTAACATGTGATAAAATTTATTAATCAAATGAATTGCTTATAAATGAATGATGTAAAATGATTTGTTCATGCATATAAAGTTATTTTATAAATAAAAATGTTATAAGATTGAAAACCATTTTTTTATGTAATGAATGAATGTCTTAAGATTAGAGATGCTTATTACACTTCATACAAATTTAATTGAAGTTTATTTAGCTATTGCTATTGCTATAAACTTCTATATTATCATTAGAATAAATTCGTAATTTAGAATTTCTTGTGTTACTTTTAGAATGCATTAAATTTGATCATTATGTAATATGTTTGAATTTGCAAAAATTTTTGTTTCATTGATCTTTATAGATCATTTGCATTTTATTATTTTTTAATTAATTAATTATAAAAAAAAAATAAAAAAAAATTTTGTTTTGTTTGAGTTATATTAATTTATTTATTGATTAATTATGTTTCTATATTATAATTGTATTTTAAGATCATAAAAAAATTTTTATTTCTTTTATTTCCCTTATTTGTAATGATACATTATACTAATTTATATTTATTTCTTTTTAAAAAAATTTTTATACAATATTTGTTGTATTATACTTTTTTGTTATTTTATATTATATTGTATTATATTTTTATTATTTATATTATATTAATTAAAATATTTTTCATGATTAATTTTTATTTTCGGTAAAATACAAATTTATAAACTTTTCTTTTGTTATATTTTTATTTGATATGTTGTCTTTTTAATTTATTATTTCTTTTATTATGTAATAAATTTTATCATTTATAAATTTATACAATTTTAGAAATGGTTTTTTTATTTATAACATTAGCAGCAGGGAGGGCGAGCAGACTATATAATATTCACCTAGAAATCCAAGAAAGATAGTTATCAAAATAAGTGCCCACTCCTCCCTGATGCTAAAATGAATACTTATTGATTTTACTATTCTAGAGCTCTCAAAATATAGTTCTTCTATATTAATAAAATTTATATTCTTAGAATGTGCTCCAGCCTTTCTTACTTATTAAAATTACTAATTTGTTTTCTTGCTTTTGTATACCTTTCTGATTATAATTCTGATATAATAAAAAATTACACCTAGTAGAAAGTATGTGCAGACTGAGTTATTTTCACCTGAAAACCTCTAGAATGATAGTTGACAAATAATGTACTCCAGCCTTCCTCTTACTTATCAAAATCATAAATTTGTTTTCTTGCTTTTGCGTGCCTTTCTGATTATAATTCTGATATAATAAAAATTTACACATAGAAGAATAACCTTAGGTGTGAAAAAAAATGGGGTATAATTTTTTCGAAGAAGGTTAGTCTATTAAGCCTTTCAATTGTATATCATAATGGTAACACTTGCTGGGAGAACAAGCATGAGAAGACGTGTAGCGACAATGAATGCGCAGTTTGACAGGAGAAAAAATATAGTAGGAATATGAGCAAGCCCTTTAGGACAAAGTGAATATGAATGCTATATTTTTTCGATCTTATGCTATCCTATTCTAAAGTATGCTAATATATGAGGTAAATATGAATGCAGAGTTGCGAAGTACCAAAGGTGCAAAGCATGTAACCAAAATATGAAAACAATTAAGTTAGGCTATCTTCTGATCGAAGGAGAAAATGCGCACTCATTACAATATTTCCTTTTTCTAATCCAATTGGGAGAAAACATTCCCGACAGAATGAGATACTAAGTTTTGTAAGCCAATCTCTATGTCTATTCATAAGTTACTCATAAGTAAAAGGATGGTTTAAATTTCTTTCAGCTTGACGTTCCTGAACAATCCCACCTCTTGTTTCCTGGTCGAAGGAAAAAGTGTGCATTCATTACAATATTCTCCTTCTTCTAATCCAATTGGGAGAAAACATTCCCGACAGAATGAGATACTAAGTTTTGTAAGCCAGTCTCTATGTCTATTCATAAGTTACTCATAAGTAAGGGGATGGTTTAAATTTCTTTCAGCTTGGTACTCCACCTCTCATTCAAAGAACTTCAGGATGAATACTAACAAACCAGAATAGACTAACTGATCACAGAACCTCTACTGCAGTTTTTGGATAAGGGATGCCATAAATTTGAAAAAAAAGAAAATCTAATAGAATGTGCTGTCTAAGTTCCGCCAATTGATAGGTTAAAGAAGAATAATTAATTATTTTTTGAACGAAAGTTTTCGTATTATTAATACAAACAACTAAATTGATTCACTTACTATCAAAAATGATATTTTAATATCCTAGATGTGGAAAGGATGACTTTAAAAAGACTCGTGATTTGAGAAATCATCTTAACAAAAAGTTTAAGTGTAAACAAACCCAAATATCTAACCCAATTCAGCCACCTAGTCCTAATGTATCTAGACCTTAATCACCGATATCCAGTCCCTCATCTTCTGTAATCTATGTTCGTAAAAATCATCTATTCATAGAGGATTTGACCAACTGGCTAACAAATCTTGAAATAAAAAACAACACAAGTGTTATTAGTAAAAAGGTTCCAAAAACAGATGCAGAATGGTTTGATCTAATAGAAAAGTCACCTAGTAGATCACAAAAGAAAACCCAAATTTCACAACTAGAAGAAGACTCTGAAGCTGAGCCTAATCCAGCAATGCATGCATATAGAGAAGAAATCCTAACTCCTAAACCCCCACCAATTATTAGAAATGCAGGTTGTTTTATTGAAACATTATATGACTATAAATTTATTAGTAATGAAGATGCCAAAAGGTAGGATCAGGAGTAACATAAACCCGGAAAAATAAGACTTCCAACACTAGCTGAGTTAGAGAATCAATTAGAAAAAAAGAATAAAATACACAAAGAAGGGTTAATATTCATCTCACAGGACGAAATTCAAGGGGGTGAGGATGATCCAAAGGATCTAGATAAAAAAGTGTCTTAGCCAGTTCTATTTCCAGATAATGAAGGGCATTGGAAAGTATGGCAAAAGGGAATTCAGACGGCAAAAAATATGCTTAAAGTAGATGATGCTAAATATACATTTTCAACTTAGTTTGCAGGAGTTCCGAGCAATGAATTCATAAATATATTATTATCAGCTAAAAGCGAAAAAGAAGTCGCAAAGAAAGTAAAAGAGGTATATTTACAAAGGGGATTGCATAATGGAAAAATAATTTCAGAACAAATAAAGCATTAATAAAGGAATACAAGGCAGAAGACAAAGGAAGTCCGGAATGGAAAGAATATATAAAAACTGTTTTTGAGAAAAAGGAAATATATGAAGCTGGAATGACTAAAGAGCGTATCAAGAAGATTTTAAATGCAATAGATGATGATAGGTTTCTTATAAGAGTAAAATTTGTTAGAGACAATTCTTCTAATGATGGAAGATATAACTATGCATTTAAAATCATTGATAAATACCAGCCTATTCAAGAATCAAAGAGGGCTGGTAAGAAATTAGTTCCAGGAGGTCTAAATGTTATCCTTACAAAGAAAACTAAGCCAAGCTTCTGGGTAGGAATTGACGGGAAATTTTTAGTTAGGATTATTCAAGGTGAAAAATTATCAGAATATATTGAACTTAATGCAAATGCAGTTGTATATGAGTTGTATTGAATCCGGAAGCTGGATAGTAAACAATTAATGCCAATGAAAGATGGTACACTTAACTGTATGACCCAGCGAGTAATAAAGCATTTTGAAAAAGCAAAAGAGAGTATGGGCTTACCAGTACATATAAACAAAAAATTAGCATATGGGAAAAAAGAATACGCCAACCTGATGCTCAAGTAGAGGATGTAGCAGAATTGGAAAAAATACTTAAGAGGTCAATCAAGTTGCTTGATATTCCTCAAGAGACTATTTTTAATAGTGTCAAATATCGAACAGGTAGGTTTGAAGAGATAGAGATGGTAGTTCACAACAGCCATACGTTCCCTAGAAACCATCACTTTCCAAGAGACCGAATAGTTGAGTATTATAACGGAAACGCATGGAAAACCATCAATAAAGCTCTTCAAGGTTCACAAGTAATATAGCTTATTAGACTTGAACTTGGGAAAGGTGAAACATTGGAAGAGATCCAATCAATATCCCAATTTGTCTTAGAAGATGGTCGTACATTTAGGACATGGATGAAGTATATAGATATAATCAAAGCATGTAAGAAATTATTTGAGGATGCAGTAGACTGGCAATTTCAGGAAGGAATAATTAATAAAGAAAGAAAGCAGGAATCCCTAGAATCGCTTAAAATAGTTGAGTTAGCGGAACAGGTATTTGGGGCAAACCATGCTGGAAGCAAACTTGCTAGTGAAATCAATGATTGGCATCCTACTCTGACTAGTATGCATAAAAATATAAAGCAATCTTGTGTTGAACATGGGCATGGAGAATGCTGGAATGCATCTAATTATCAAGTCGAAGATGTTGCATATATAGACATGAAGGAATGCTAAGCGATTTGGGCATCCAACACATCATCTTGTCTGAGTAGCAGTGAATGGAGAATTGCCACAAGATGACATTACAGGATTTGCACAAGTAAGATCATTTAGATTTATTTCTAACATCCATTTAGCAATTTCTGTCTAGTATGGAAAACATTTTGCTTGTCGAAGTGGTGAAGGATATGGGAAAACAAAAAATTGAATACCTATTGTACTTCTACGATATCTTTTCAAAGCAGGTATCCTGAAAAGTGTAACAATAGGCAAAGCTATTATTTCTCTTACTAAGCAGACAAAGGTATAGTTGCCTAAAAATTAGGATATCAGTTGCGCAATCATAGGAAAGTTCACACAAGGAAATAAAGTTGAAGAAAAATGTCTTACTCACTGGATTATAATAGACGAAGGTGAACTTGATTTCTTAATTCAGAATTGCATTAAAGAGGGAACATATGCAGGTAGTGATAAATGTCCACTTGAATATATATTTACATATTATGAGAGGCATCAGCCCCAATACGCACATTTGCGAGTCTTATGCTCATATAAATTTGCTAGAGATGCTCTGAAGATTTGGCCCTAATGAAGTAGTAAGAATATCAACAGATTTTATACATATATGAAGAGAGGCCTTATATAAAATCGAAAATGTATCTGCTTTCTTTAAGTAAGCTAAGCAAAAGACCAGCCGTTTAGGCGCTTTGCAAAGCAGTCAATCTAGAAATTCAGCAGATAACAGTAAGTTTCAATGTCTGCATAAAATTCCTTCTTGTGCAATGTGTGGAGCAGGAGTCTATTATTCAAAAAAAGCAGTCAAAGAATTCATCAAAGAAGTGATGTCTTTAATGCGAAAAGGAAAAAATCAAGTTTATTTGTCTGTAACGAATATAAGCCATTTGTATATGTTGTTTGCTTTAGGAAGTGGTACTTTCGCTTAGATCCTTGGAAAAATACCAATAGAGTTGTTACTAAAAAGACTGAATTCACTAACTTAGACATAAATAAGGTATCAGAACCAATTCGAGAAATTCAGCCTGGCCAATGGTGTGATAAAGGAGAGAAAATTCATGACCCAGACCCAAACGTTGTATATTGGCCAAAAAATAGGCATTGGGAATCGATTAAAAATATTACTGAAAGTACTGCTCCATCAATTCGTGATCCTATTACAAGGTCCTGATTTCATATCTCAATGGAGGCGGTGGTTCTAGAAAGACAACATGCACAATTCGAATCTTTAAAGATATAAACATGATATTCTTTATTCATACGAATGTGCTGGCTAAAGACTGCTCAAACCTGGCATAACTTCTTTAGGTGGAATAGTGTAGGAGAGCAGACTTCTGAACGTATGGAAGAAAAGATATTTCCACAAGTAGTTATCTGGGATGAGGTATGTACAGTTCCTAAGCATATTTTAGAGAGGTTTATTGACTATTTACTAAAGTAGAAGTGTCAGGTAATTTGTTGTGAAGATGATGCTCAGCCTTCACCATCTTTAGAAAAATGCCTCATGATTAGTTAAAAGAGCATTCTGATTACTACGAGGAAGTCTTGACTGATTATTGGGCCAAATGCTCTAGATTACAAGAGCTTAAGAAAAAAATACGATAGTAAAATAATAGAGTGCAGTCAGACCTATTCTGTGAAACACTTCCGGTCACAGAAAAATGGGAATATCTTGAAGCTGAATGGAAGCCATCAGATCGTATCTTATCAGCATATCTACTTTCCCGAAGAATTGCTTTTCAAAAATACTTAAAACTTTATCAATAAAAATATCTCAACATGCCGATCCCATTAATCTATAGACCAAAAGATAGACACAAATAAAATTGTCTTGTTCTGATCCCTGGCTCATCCGAAAAAAGAGAACTAGTAAAATGATATAATACATCTGCTATTAAATACACTTCCTGACAAATTCTTAATAGATATGTTAGCAGATAAAAAAGTAATAGATTGGGAACTTGAATATGCTATAACTATTCACACTAGTCAAGGAATGACCCTTAAAGCTTCACAGTGTGTTTGGGTCATTGATGAAAACCTAGCCTGGGATAACCTAATATATTTAGCAGTTGGTCGTGTGGAATATTTAAGCCAACTCATTTGGGTTGAAACACCTTCATTACCTCCTAAAATTGCCTAAGAGATTGAGGAGGCAAAAAAGAAAAGATAGCTAGAGTACGAATTGAGACCGTCTATTCAAAAAAATCTCATTGGATATATGGGCCAGGACAAGGAAAAAGGCTGTGAATTCAATTTAACAGTTGACTATATCCTCATGTTAAAACATATTCAAGAAGACAAATGCATATTGTATTTCATTGAAATGAAATTCAAATGGGATCGGTTAGGAGATGTATTCCAGTGGACAGTAGATCAAATCCACAATAGTTTAGGATATATCAAAGGAAACGTGCGTCTTACTTATCTACTTTGTAAGTGAAATCATTGAGTCTAAGTCACTGCCATGGCTAGACTAGTGATATAGTGCATATATGCAAGTCAGAGGAAGCAAATTAGTATTTACATAATTATTAGATTTTTTTTCTGGCATGATAAATATTCAGTTATAGAATAAATCACTAAAATGACAACTGGTATAGTAAGTTTAGAGAATATTATAGATGATATAAAAAAGAATATTAAAACGATATTCCAAAATGGAGTTAGAGCTGAAGATCAGCAAAAAGTTTATATAATTGGGCTTCAATTAACATTGGACAGATTAGCACGAGAGTTAGAATTTGCATAAAATAATTATCAAGACATATCTGCTAATCAGATTAATTGAATCAGATAAATTGTCATGTATGGCTAAAAAATCGAGAAATAATAGGCGCAAGACCGCAGGTAAGTTTACTATTAACTCCTCACAGTATTTGCCATTATGCAATCTGGCTAAATACGAACACACATATGATAGGGCAACAGGTTTTATTACTGTCACAAATAAAAGACAGAATAAAGTTGTAGGTGTGTTCAATTATCCCGAGCTATAGGAATATCTAACTGGTTCAGAGCAGTGATCACCAATTCAGAAGAATTTTATTTTTTGAATATAATCAATCGATCTATTAGCAAAATATTAGGTAGAGGTTATGATGAATTTATCTAAGAATATAGAACACGATTTCAATAAGATATGCTATTAATGCATAAATATATAGATTAGAATAACCTTTTTTGTGATATCAAAACTTATTGGAATACGGAGGCAGTTAGGCATTGGAGAGAGAAAGCGCTTAAGCAATTCATATTTAACCTACCCAATGTGAAGAATCTGACACTATTATTCCATGCATTCATACAATCCGATATTTTCTATCTTTCACAAATTATAAGTTTGGTTGAAATACCACCTCTTGCCTGTGAACTTCGTTGTGAAATATGGCTGGAGTGATATATTATCACCAGCTTGAAAAAATTTGCTGAGCCACGTATTGTGTGACAAAATAGGCTCAGCTAATTTATTTTTCGATTAAAGATAAAGCATATATTATTTATGGCGTATTCAAGTATTTTTATTATACCAGAACTATTAGAGCGGATCTATATTTCTTAGCAGTAGATAAGACACTGTATCCCACTCTATTTATATCCTGATTGTAGTACAGATGTAGTGCTCCTATTCTATAAAAATGCATCGAGCTAAAGTAAGACAATGTGAAGGATAAATTTCGATTGGAAAGATTTATGAAATTAGTACCTGGAAGAGGAAGAAAACCAGTTTATAGCTTTAAACTAACTCATCTTAAAATAATACACTACCATTTACTTTCAAATAAAAAATCAAAGGTATTGTACACACATTTTTGAATATAATTTATTTAGATTTCGAAGGAAGTATGGATTGTACAGATAAAGTTCTAAAGCTAATAGCGGAATCATATTCAAATTTGGAGTATCTTAATATATCTGCTTTACTGAAAGCTTTGGATCAGAAAATGATATGTTTATTTGCAATCGCACAATTATGCCACAAACTAAAATATCTAAATATTTCTATTCACAAAGAGTTTTCTGAAATATCAATTTGTAATGTTATTTGTTCTTGCCTAAGGCTCCAACAATTTGATCTTAGCTATTATGTAATTACTAATATAACTATTGAAGAAATTGCTAGATCATGTCTTAATTTAAAGTATCTCAATTTGAAAGGGTGTTATAATATTAGTGAAAAAGCAATAGATCAGCTTATTTCACTTAACCCAAATATTCATGTTGAGAATTTCTTGGAATCTTCAGCACCCTCTGCTTTTATTGAATTAGTTAGAAATTATCTTATACAGCCTAATGTTGCTAATAAGCGATTTTTAGATTAACATCTTCAGCAACTTTAGATCTAAATATGCGGACTAGATAAATAGACTGGAGTAGGCTGAGTATGATCATTAATTAGATTTTTTTGCTGAGCCTCACATGTACTCCTATATGTGACAAAAAAAATATACATATTAGCTAACCTATTCTAGACACAGGCACTAGCTAAATTTTCACACAATTGAAATAATGGAAGCCCTCTCTGGTAAAATCCTATTGATGAATTTCTGTATTATCACACTTAAAACATTTCCTAAAGGACCATCTAAACTTTTGAAGATATGCTCTTGTATTTTTATCAGCTTCTAATCCATTTATTTCTGGATTAGTATAACTGACAATACCAAGATCATTCTAAATCACTCTTATTTCCTCTTCTAAATATAAAAGCAAATGATATAATGTTTCAAGTGGTATTTTCCTAAATGTTCCTTCCTCAAGATCTTGTATATTTTCATATAATATAGTAAGAATGGGCTGGTAGGTCACATCAAGATCTCCCTGTATATCTATTAATTCTTCCACCAAATCAAATAACAACCCAAATGAATCTTCAAGTGTTTTCCTTTTTTGCTTTGGTTCAATGCTGTTTGATTTCTAATCTCAATAGATCCCTTCTCCCAATCTGGATCTATACTGAGTTTTTTCTGAATAGCTATTATATCTTTCTTCTTATATACAAGCACTTCATATAATTGAGATTCGCTTTTATCAGAATTAATATTAGTATTGCTTGTCATGATTGTGTTTTTCTCTGATTAGCATGCATTCAATTTTGAGTCCAGAATATTGATCATCAACCGGAGCGGTGATCATTAGCTCAGAAGAATTTACTGAATCACAGATTATGCAACAGAAAAAATAAGTGGATCATCAGACAAGTTGTGCGACATATTAATTTTTGCATATATATTCAAAACTGAAAAGAAAATATATTAACCTTTGTTCCCAAACAAACATGAGAAAAATGTGAAAAAATGTCTAGTTGCGGTATAGGACCAGCTTTAAAGATAAATAGTGCCAACAAATTCATATGTTATGAAGGGCTGAGGATCTTGCAATTTAGAGATCGCTAGGCGTAAAGCTACTTTGAGTCTTTCCGGTGGATTTACATGTGAAAAAGTACAAAAATTTTACTTGCATATGCTTTTATGGAACTCTTGGCATCAGACGAGAATACTAATCACTTTTCTTATCTCCTTTTTTCAGCAAAATATAAAGCATGTAGCGGTGTGTGAAAGTTCAGCTAACTTTCCACAAAATTTATAAGGTGTGTATATATCAGAAGTTATGTATGTATTAAAATGAAAATTTCTCACTATAGGCTCTTATTTTTAGGAAACAAGATGTCTTTCTGGGCCAAAATGATAAAACTATGGGAAACTGAAAGACTTATCAACTTTTTGAGGAGTGATTCAAAATTAGAAGGCTTAGAACTTGACGATATCTTTTTTACAAAGCTTTGTGATGAAAATATCACCGGTGATTTATTTCTCAAGCTAATAGGGTAGGATTTTAAGGAATATGGAATAACATTAAACAAGCATTAGAACTTGATGACTATATTAAGAATCTATATGAGTAATTAAATGTTTCTTATAGCTGTATTTTATTGATGAGATTCTCGTTATCCTAATAGTCTTATTTATAAATCAAGATAATCGAAAAGGAGCATTAGGAGTTCAACTTATAAAAGGGTCTGGTTCGAAATCAAGTGATTCTCCAACTAGTTAGAAATTTTTTATCTATATTTATGCAATTTTTATGTATTAGTTGCTTTGGCAATGTTTTTTTTTATTTCTTAAATAAAGCATATATTATATTCTTGTCGTAAATCTTGATAAATGTCACGTGTAATGATATAATGTAATTGCCTAACAATCCTGTACTATATCTTAATTGCATATATATTGGGCAAATGCATTATGAATTGATACAAAAAATCTATCATTTCACCTTGAGTGTCGGAAACCAAAAATACTTTTATATCTATAAATCAGCTTTACCTGTAATTGCAGTCGAGTGCATATTTTTTCGCAAGCATAAACTCACATATATAAAAACCATATCTTTCTTCACAAGCTTCTTCACCTGTTTCACCCGCCTTAATAACGGAAGAAATTTCAACTAGAACAATGTCAGACGTGGTTAAGGATTTTAATACAAAGGAGCTTATCGAATACTTGGGAAGGAAAGACTTAATTAAAACTTGATGAGGACGATATTAAAATTCTTCGCAAAGAGAAAATTGCCAGCCTTGACTTTCTTAATACAACTAAAGAAGAGTTTCGAAGTTATGGTATGAAAGCTGGCCCTGCAAAAAGACTTGTAGAATTTATTGAGAGTCTTAGCCAGAAATTACGAAACTATTTCTCGCTTAAAACTCTTGACGATTTGAAGGAGATGTTGCGTAAAAATAAGGTCAATAGTGAAGATATAATAATCATTAAGCAATTTACTCCCGGTGTGTGATTATTTTTATTTTACACTTGTTTTAGAATGGTCTATTAATAATATAGTAATAACCGCTTATTTTTTCTTCACAGTCTTCAAGGAAATTAATGACAATGATAACGCTCTTGACTATTGTATGGAGGACATAATCTTAAAACTTTCGAATGTGAAGACTATGACTGATGCTAACGAGGCAACACGCTGTGAATTTATTTCAGCTATATTACATGCATCAATCGCTATAGCTAAAAATCTCACCTCACAAGATATATTCATAGTTTTGCAAAAAGACATTTCTGGTAAAGATGCGACAGGTCAAGTGGATTACACAATCAAAAGTCTGGAAGAGTTCCTCTGTATCACTGAATGGAAACCACGTAATATAAAAATTGGATATGCTCAAGTAAGTCTGCTTATTCTCCTAGTATATTGTTTTTAATGAGAACAAAGATGCTCAGGCAAAAGATGATGTATTTTATCTCTTAGAAACTGGCGCAACTTGAAAGTGCATTCCAAACAAATAAGAAAAAATGAACTGCAGATCAAGCATTTAATGAAGATTACTTTGACTATCTTTATGGCATTGT